AGCAAACCAGTCTTCCAAACTGTCAAAGTGCCTTGAAACTTGGAGCTCTTCACTCCTGATTGTATTCATCCTCCCAATAACTTACAACTTTTCAAGGCTCGCATTGATATACCTCTCAGTAAGTCGCCTCAAATGTGTGGCGTCCCTGAGTTATTTGCCTTTCATCTATGGTAGGGTATCTTTGCTTCTGTTGCATTCCACGTTTGTGTGCGACTTCGGAGGCCTTCGAAGAAATTCCAACTTGTCTGCGGTGGAAATAACCAGGTATCTGCGTAGTGTTTTTTCACGAGCTTCTTTGTTCATTCTTATCATAAAGAAAACAGGTAGACAAACGGTCGGACGGGAATGAGAGTGAATGAAATCCGAGCCGTAGAAATGCTGATCCACGATCATATCCAATCGCCGATTAAACCGAGAAAGCCAAGCACGATGACTTTTGACCCCGGTGTTGTTGAAATAGAAATGACGCCTCGGAGCTAATCAAACGGTCTTTTCTGAATGAAACTGACTGTTTGTTGGAGGGTTTAAATTCTGAGCCGAATCTCACCGGACCGTGACCAGATGTTAACCGGGAATTATCAGGAAGGTCAGCTCCCTGAAAGCAACCCTGAATGCCCACAGGCCGGCGAATCAGCAGGTATAACAGGAATACGGTCGTTTTTTATGGGCACATTGATTACTAGACAAATTACCGCATCTGAATAGTCCCTTCTAAAAGTACATCCCGAGGTCTTTTGACGACAGAAAAAAGTGGAATTAACCCATGCACAGTTGTGAAGACCTCATATCTTACAGTCATCCATTCAACTCTTGGACGTTGTTCAAGACTTCTCTCGCATTCTTCTTGCTCTAGAAGAAAGTCGAACCGATATGAAAGAAAAAAACAAACGTAGCCAAATACTCCTGACTCCATCAGTTTGTATTCCGAGGACTACGATGTGACATGTCTGTGAAGGATTGGCTCCCATGTAGCACACGATATTCGCAACTTCGTCAAGAGACCTTACACTCCAGCTACGTTCGAAACTTCCAGTCAGCTTCGCCAACCATCAACCAACCTTCATATCTCAAGCCTCAGTTTCAAGTTTTGTCACGCACTCCCACCCTTTGTTTACTTGATAACAGAAATGAAACTTGGATTCAGGTATGACAAGACCATAGTGGTTGGTCACGTGACCTCCTACGAGGAACCTTTGGCCGGGGAGGTAACGTCTCTACCTTAATCCCTGTTTTCGGTGGTGACACCTACCAAACGTGAGGAAGAGGTAGTGGGTTGCCTCCTGAAGTGTAATACAGGTGTTTCAACTGAAAATCAAAAATACATACATGTACATATCACCAAAATTCCTCACGCGTAACAAAATGGATGTCAATATTGTTCATTAGATGTTCATTTGTGCAATCAAGCCGGGTGAGATAGGTTCTGTCCCGTAGGGTTCAAAATCACCATAGAAATACGTCTGACTCGGAATGAACCCGACCTATATACATGTATGAATCTTACCCAACCCGACGATGAAGTCAAGTGACGCAGCGTATAGTCAGTGGTATGGTAAACACAGGCCCCTATCCCAGTTCATTTCGTCGCACACAGAGAGAGGAAAAACCCGCAAAACTCAGTGGAATGTGCTGTGTGACGATGCTTCCACCATGGCAGTTTTCACCGCTGAGACAAAAGAGAACGTTACCATCTTTGGTTTTTCGAGAGACTCACCTGGAACCCAGCTGACTCTCTCGTTTGTGATGTTTCCAGGCAACTGAATGTGCCGCACCAGGCAGCCTGATGCTCCATCGCTCGCTACGATATTTGAGATATCGCGATACATGCATATTTGTAATGCACTACTCACAATGTTGCTAAAAATTCGTCGACAGCCCACGACCACATCACAAACGAGAGATTCATCAGGGTTTCAGGTGAGTCTCTCGAAAGAACCAAATTAGTTTGCAAATGAGTGCATTTCGCTAATTTCGTGCAGTTTGATGGAAACTCAGGGACTGCGCCTACTTGATGAGCCCCAAAAAGGGCGAAACTGTTAGTGAGCTGTCAACGAATTTTCAGCAACCTTATGAGTAGTGCATTACGAAGAACTTTATTATATTTTCTAGTAAAACTATGGAAAATTTTCAACAACGAAGATTGTCGGGTTGTTCCTTGCTAGCGAAACGGGATGTGAGAGTAGGCTTCGTTTTGGAACGCTACTGGCAAAGACAAACTGGCGAGTGGAGAAACTGAGACGCTGAAAATAACACTAGGTCTAAAGAGTCGTGTGAACTGTACAAGGATTTCGATTATTAGCGATTTCTTAGAAACACTGTGGGACTTTTGCGGCTTCAGATCATGCACTTTAATGATGACTTGAAACGTGTAGCCCACAATCACATGACATCCACAAACAGATATCTAATGGAAACAGTACTTCTGAGAATAATAGTCGATAAAATATTGCCAAAATGAAATCAGAACCATACGTTAGGAGTACTCAACTGATTAAAAAAAGCTTCCATTTTGTAAATACCGTATTTCCTCACATGGTTTCCTTCATACCAACTCACCAGTCATCCTTAATTGGTAACCCCCAAAAAGGGACAACTCGCGCATCAAAGCAGGTTTCGCCTCTCCGATTGACGTTGAAAAAGTTTGGTTAGATCATAACGAAAGTAAACTGTGATATCACAGAACTGATGGAACACGATGATTTTCATGATAGCCTCGACTGTTCACGTTTTCATCTATGTAAACAACATTTGACGGTCCTGATTGTGGAACTACTAAACACCGTCTAGAAAAAAAAGGTCTGAACCACATGACCTTGCATAGCGCAGCATTCAAATCTCTTGGTCAATTTCAAGGACCTTGCGATGTAAACGACCTTGAAATAGCTCATCTCTGATATACAAAGTTTCGTCCTTCTGCGATCCACTTGGAGAGGGTGCAGGGATTGGGCACAGAACACTTTGAGTAGCTTTTACAGGCCGCTGAAATAAATTGACACAAAAAGACTGTCATCCTACAAGAAGTTCCTCAAGTTCTATCGTCCGCAGTAGAATACAACGGATTCCGCATAAAAAAAGGCCATCGAACTTGCCAGCGTTTTGTTATCACAATTCTGCTCTGTCACATCCACAGTCATTTGCTTCACAGTACTTGAAACGGCTGTTGAGAACTCACATCATCCATGAAGCCTTTGACAACACCGAAGATCTGTGCTTGAATTTCGACCATTGGCGAAACGGAATGCTTTCTGGCCGAAGTGTCCTTCCTAAGAGAAAGATCACCGTACCTTTGTCGTTCCTAGCCTGACAGTATTTTTCGTGTAGCTTGAAATTTGGCGTTTCCGGTGACCGAGAGTAAGCAAACTGTCCCCTTCCTCCACACCACCCCCCATGCTTGCTTCTCTGTCAGTCTACATCAGGAAATGCTGTTGAGGAAGACCGTCGTGGATGACCAATGCCCATCCGACTGCCGACTGCACTATACGTAGAAACCACGCGTTCCACCACATACCCTAATATCTGTCTTCTATCTGCACTTACTGAATGGGTTAAGATGACTCGGTGTCTTAGATGACTACTGGGGTTATTGGGTTCGCCTGCACTGAGCCTGCCAGACTACGCGATAGGGAGAAGACAGAGAACTGCGGACACGGCTGTATTGCCAGGACAAAAACGTACGGAGCCTCGAGCCGCCAACTCACCTACTTTCCGGACGTGTCGAACCGATGGTGACCTTGGGGATGCGTCACTCTCTGCATATGTGCTTTTCCTTCTGTCTGGGCGCACCCTGACAACTACATTCTATTCTGGAATTTTCCTTTCATTCTTTGGACCATAAAATTTTCAGGCGATCAATTGATATACTCGATTTGCAACTTAGTCGTAATAGAATTGTCATAGACTTTTCGAAAAATCAAGCATAAGTTTAGTCTGGCTGAGCGTTTCTCTACTCACTAACCGCGACATAGTGCTGGTTTCAAGGTCATTCATTCCTTGGACAACCCAATAATTACCAGGTTGTGAATTTCAGATCGATTTTTCAGCCTACCAGCAAAGCTTCAAACGAGACTAATCGTAGCAAAATCTAGTTGCCGTTGGTCGCAGTATGCGAAACGTGACCGCGGGACGTTGATGTGGACAGGTTTATTGTTTTATAAATAATATAAGAAATCGATTAACAGATGAGTGTATTTGTCACTACAAATAGCTCTTCCTCAAAAGCACTTGTTACATATTACGTTACCTAGTTAAAGAGGAGTTATATTCAACCTCTCCCTTGGAAACCAAATTGATTAGCAGATGAGTGTTTTTCTTGAAAACAGTCCAATTGGGAGAACACAAGTTTGACGGAAGTTTAGGGACTGCGCCCCAAGAAGGGTGAAACCGGTCGTGAGCTGTCGAAGAGTTCTCAGCAACGTTGTGAGCAGTTCCCTTTATGTAAATATACTGCGATTTCTCGAATATCGTACCGACTGAAACATGAGGCGGCCTACGTACAGCACATTCAGTTGAAGAACATCTTAAACGAGAGATTCACCTGAAACTCCCGTCAAAACCAAAGTGATTTGCAAATGGGTGTATTTCTCGAAAACAGTCTAATTTGGGTTCAAGTAGAACATAAGGTTGACGGAAGTTCGGGGACTGCGCGCCCATCTGATGAGCCACAAGAAGGGCGAAACCGGTCGTGAGCTGTCGAAGAGTTTCCAGCAACCTTGTGAGTATTTTTTTATGACAATATAAGAAATGTTTGGAAAAATTATAAACCTTTTGGAAACACTATGCTAATTTGGTGGCTAAGGTCGATTTAGACAGACTAACGATGTGGTTACCATGATTTACAGTGTTAATGACATCAAACCCTAACTAAAGCAATTCACACCAAAACCCTTTGGACATCCGGAAGATATCAACTCAATCAATGGGCTTTGTGATGCAGCTGACAGAATGTCACTGATAATTTATAGGCAGTGGTTGGTGTGATGAGTCAGCTGTGAAGTTCACGTGCATGGGCGCAAAAAAAGCGTGCGGTTTCGATCGATAGATCACCCGTTCGGTAGGCGAATGGTTGATGGGTGCACCCGACCCCTTCCGACCCATAATAGCGAAATCTACCAGCCCACCTTCTAATAATCGGGAGAATTCTCATCAGGAAGATAGAGACCAGACTCATGAGCAAACCATTCGAACGCACTTCCTGGGAAATTGCCAGACGAGATTCCTTGATGTTGACGTGAATGAACACAAAAAACAGTATTTAGATTTGATCCCATTCTTCACGAATTCTAAAAATAAGTCTTAAGGTAACACGTGCTTGGTGCGTGCAAGTTGTTTTGCGATTGCTCTGCATAAAATATATTTAAAGATTGAAATAAACTGCCTTTCACAAGAAGGAGTTTTTGTCGAAGGTGTTTCGGCTCTCAGGGTTACGTCCAGATTAGTGCCAATCAAAAATTCTGCTGTAAAGTTGCTTTTTGGATTCGTCGAAGCTTTCTAGCAGCTTTGCTGAAACTACTGGGCTGGTCACTATTGAATGAGTTCTCGCGCTTCTCACAGTGGTGAACAGAGAGAACACTGATGTTAGTGTCTACACTGTCTCCGGAATTGCTCGGCAAAAATGGACGTTATTTGTAAATCTAGAGGCAATTTTCAGGTCACAGCATGCTAGGACATTCAGTCCGTAGACACAACTGTTTTCGATTACTCTCAACAGCGGTCGCTGAACAGACGTTTTTATTAGAGACGATTCCTTGTTCACCATGATTGTTCGTTGATGTAAATCTGTGTAAAACGATGAATAACACTTCGCGCTGACTATCCGAGTGGGACCTTTTGACCTTGAACTGTAGAACTCCGGAAGTGTTCCAACTATTCCTATCTGGCAACTTGAACAGACTGAACATAGCTGCTACATGCGTCAAGATATCCAGGCAAAATAAACTGATTGTCAATGCACCGAACCAGACCAAACAGCTTGTTACTTACTTCTGTCGGGGGCCTCAAATTGCTGAATGAGAAACACCAGTCTGGAACTACGTCATCAAAACATAAAAAGTGATATTTCTAACCTACCATCCAAAATGATCAAAAACAAAGTAGTGCTTCACAGTCATTTCAATCGCCAATGCTAATATTTCTTAGCATATGTGAGCAAAATCAAACTTTTGGCTCCAAGTGAGGAAAAGTTTTAAGAATGACATCCTGAACCCAGCCGTGTGATATCTCGAATATCGTGCCAACTGAATCATGAGGCGGCCTACGTACAGCACATTCAGTTGTAGAATAGCATAAACGAAGGATTCACTAGAGTCTCTCGTAAAAACCAAATTGATTTGCAAATGGGTGTATTTCTCGAAAACAGTCTAATTTGGGTTCAAGTAGAACATAATGTTGACGGAAGTTCGGGGACTGCGCGCCCATCTGATGAGCCCCAAGAAGGGCGAAACCGGTCGTGGGCTGTCGAACAGTTGTCAGCAACCTTGTGGGTAGCGAATTGATTAGATCTGGTTGTTACGTTTGAAGACAATAAACCGACTGTTTTAAAAGGTTGCTCGTTTTTTCTTCAGTTAAAAGCACCATAATTGTTTCCAGATGCCTGCCGATCATGCTGGTAAAAGTGGGAAATTACTAATGAAAACGAACAAGGCTAATCGATTAACTGTATAACCATTTGGGCGCCCAGCTCTCATGCAGTCCAAAAGCTTGAGCCACTGTCAGGTTGCCCAAGCCTAGACTGGAGCGATCGAGATGCAGAGGGGACTTTGAAGGTCAGTAAGTTCACTCCTTGAGCACTGAATAATCTCTCGAAAAACTACACTATACGACGGCTCTTGGAGGCACTTCAGACGATTGCTTCGATAAACTGGCTTTCTGGTTATTTCCAGTTATAAGCAGTCATTGGCTGACGACACAACAGATACAACAAATTACCTCTGAAGATTCAAAACAGTGTGTGATATCCGAATGTCATGGGCGTCTTTCGAGAATGCCCAGGTTTTAAGGGAATAACATAAAACAATGAATCGATAACGCCAATTTCGGTACAGCGGTTGTTGAACATTGGGGCATCGAAATCGCCACGTCACAGAAAAGACGAACACATTGACGGTTCTCACAGGGTCCACGTGCATTTCGTAGTCCTTGGGACTCTGTCAATATATCCATTGGCGGTTGGAAGTTACTAATAGTACTACGTTGCAATAAAGTGCATGAAGTGCTGTCATCGGTGAGTAGTATGAATGCATCCAAGGCGTACTATATTAACAGATATCTTTTTCAATCATGGACGGATTCAAAAACAAAACGCTTTTTTTCCCGAAGAAGTGCACACCAAAATGCTTGGAGTTCCTTCACGTGAACGCATTTAGATAATACTGATTGATTGTTGGTAGTGCGAGGAGATTTGAGATTTTTGTGGAGATTTCGTCCTATAAGTGAAGCCAATCTATGCAGTGCTTCTCGGCTTTTCAGCTTCACTTACAGGATGAAATCTCCACAAGTATTGATTCACTAACAATGATCAAGCATCCATATATGCATCTGTTCTCTGGATTTTGAGGTGCATCTGCTTTTCCAGGTTGTCAATCCAATTGACAGATATCACACAACTGCGTGCCTCCACACCAGAAGCATTCGTTGAACCTGATTGCACAAGCCGACTGGAGATGACTCACTAGTGTAAGCCACGTGGGAGGGTAAGCGAGTCTCCATATTGACTGATCGATAACCATATGCACGTAGGGGCAGAGCGCATGCAAGGGGAGGACAGTAACGCAAGAGGGCCCGCTGGCGTATAGATCATCACTACGCTGGTTTGGCGGCTTCCATACTCGGGACCGAGTTGAGGATTGCATGATGTAACTGCCCTACGATTGGGCAAACAATAAATCCGATATGGATAGACATCAACGTCACTATTGTCTTGGGTGATCCCGATGCCAAAAACCGAGGTTTCGATTATCGTAAAAGAAGGGCTAACCTTTTGTAAAAGGTGATTCCGCTTGCTGAATATGGAGCTGTTTTTCTTTTCTCAGGCTCAGTCAGCTACATCAATCCAGAGCGATTTTTTGGGGTTTGAGCATTCGTTGTATTCGTTTGCCGAACAGAGCAGTTGCAACTTGGCATATAACTCACTTAATCCGATTAGACTTTTGCTTACTTTTATGTCAAACTTGAGTGTTCAACTGATGTTGTCATTTACGATGTATCTATTGTTCTAGAGTGATCCCCCTGTATCACGAAAATGAAAAAAAAAACATGTCACTTTGATCGTATCAAGAAAGCATTGAAAACCCGGGGGTGCAAAGTTCACCAGTTGAGGTTGCCTTTCTCAGCTGCTTGGTCCTATTAGGGCATGATTCTTTGCGACGGCGGGGGGTACCAAATGAATCAGTAAATTACTGATAAAATCGACTTTTTTTAAAAACAAAAAGAATTGCCTATCGTTAATGCAATGGTAACTTTCACTGTTGCAATAAATGTCTACAGGGTATATGCCAAAATACCGAAAAACCCGACAGTTGCCCCGTAAGATGTACAACCTGACCTGTACTTACTTCATCCACTCAGTATGTAAATTGCAGTAGTCCAGTAATCCGTCTGAAAACAGCGAAGACCGAAATACAAATGGTGTGTAGTGACGGTCATACGAAAGCTTCTACAGTTTGGGAGTCCATACATTCGATTAGATCAAGCCAGCTACGCTCGCACGACCAATATCGGCGCAACAGGACGGCGATTTGGATGTCAATAGAATCCATGTCCATTTGCTAGGTCGAGCATGGGTATAAAAAAGGTACGTGGGTTTACGAATGGCAGGTCGACACGGTTTCCGATCTTGCATTTGTGCACTGGTGGCTGAGTTGTCTAGGTCGAGGACCGAGGCGGTTGCAGTGTAGCCCGACTGGCTGGCGGGCTTAATACGCGAGCCGAATGTCCGTAACTGTGTCACCAGCCAATCAGACGTACGTATCGTGAACGTCGGACTGCACGTCGGCGCCCACGCACATTTGTCGTAAATCAGTGCGCGCCGGAGGCATAAGAGAGACGGTCCACGCTGCTCCGGTGGATTGTTCTTACGTCCCGTCCCTTGTGCGCTTCTGTGGTCGGCTATGTGCTTGTGGACCGAAGCTTTTGTCAGGTGGTCGCGTCCGTTTCTATGATGTGAGTCAATTCTTTTGCTGCCATTATTTCGTTGATTGTTATCCACTGGAAGGTCTTGATAAGCTTGGTACATGAGATTAGCAGGTTTTTCCGACCAACCCTTAACCGATGTTCAGGTTATCCGAGACCAGTTTGGAGGAATAGGTTAGTTTTTCGTATGAACCTGTTGGACTGGTTGGGACTTTCCAAAGGCATCGTTCACTTCGTGTCTGCTCGACGTCACTTGGGAAAAACCCCCTTGTCGGTAACTGTCTATCTGGACACTTTTCAAAGGCATTTTGGTGGTTGAATACCCGGTACCCCTCTATGTGCATTGATATACAACAGTTTTCGGTAGATTCCGCACGGTATTCAAAAGCTTCCTCTCATGTTGATCACACGGTATGCCCGACCTATATACAAGTGTGTTAAACTGAGTATTCAGATGACTTTAATATGTGTACATCTAACGAGATTTCTCAGCTATCCACGGTAAACGAATCAGACAAGCGAATATGAAGATTAGGGGAGATAACCCTCGTCAGCTTTGTCATATCCACGGGCGAACACTACTCAGCAAGAGCAATGTGAAGCGGTACGAAATATCCGAAATAACTGGGAGCAAAGCTCACCGTGCCCGAGGTTTACCATATCTTTCAATCAGGGTCCACCACTGTAGGTACAGAAACAACTCAGGTGGGAAGTTTTTTCCACTCGTTAATCACCTGAGTCAAAGGTGTGTTTTAATGGATGGGGTGCAAATGACTATCATTGTTTCTGAAGGGTTGATTTACCACGGTTATGGTCAAGCAGCTGCGATATTATAGGAAAACACCTGAAGGTCGATTAGATACTCTTGTCGTCGATCATCGGTCAAGAGGATGTTCTTCGTGATGAAGTAGCGCAAAGACAACAGTTAGCCACACTCGAGGAGTTTACTACCTGTAAAGTAGCTCTGAATACTGAACAAGTTTCCTTTCCGAAACGTTTCTGCTGCATCAGACGTCGACCGCCACATCGGTTCATAAACAATATTAGTGTCCTATTGAAGATAGTTTTATGGACGATGATCATCGCAAATTGCACCTAGCAACAAAAGCGAGTCTAGCGGGTTCGTGATAGCTTAATATGGTATACCAGGGTCACACGTTGGGGAAACTAACCACTCGACGCTTCGTAGAGCTGGTTCAAATTGAAATTTCCAATGTCCCTTTTTTGTTTGTGTACATTGTCAAAGGAAGCACTGTATGATGTGGTTGGAATTAAACTATAATATGGGGTACATATATATAGTATGGAATATGTCAGCTTCACTTTGTAGATTCAAATTAGACAAATGGCACCCCACTATTTTGGTTTTCATAGACAAATACCAAATGCGACGTTCCACCTGCTACAAAAGTTTCTCTTCGAAATCGCGATTTCACTGACAAAATTGGTACAGGTTTATTTCGTGTGTGATTCAGATGCAGTAGGACAGGTAGAAGACGAAACGTATAGCAACCACGAGATGACGCATCCATGGTCGCGTGACATTCAGAGCTTAAAATGGAAAGTGGAGTGCTTGAAGTTATGCATCGCATGTATCAACTTGGTCAGATTGATTTGTGAGACCAGGATCAATAGTTACATGGATGTCAGGGTAGCTACTGTGACCGGTGGGCGTCTGATTCAGCGACGACTCAGAGAATGATACAGACACGAGCTGATTAGAATAGACATTCAGATAGACGCGAGCTTGACTTTATTGTCATTTGATGGGAGTGCGTTCACGTCCGTTGAGCAGACGTATTGTGATGTGGATTTGGGTCTCCTGGAGCCACATTATCGTCATCGTGGTTTAGTGTCTTCAGCGTAACTGCCTAATTGGCGCGAATTTTTTGCCATCAAGCTACAGTACGGGCTGTTTTATTGTATGGGTGTGAGACTTGGCCTATTCGAGCAGCGGACCTGAGACGTCTTCAGGTGTTCGATCATCGTTGTCTCAGAACCATAGCTCGTGTGGGTTGATGTCGACGAATCCGTAACGAGGCAGTTAGAAAGCACGTTTTCGGTTGCGCAACGGGTACTTCCATTGAAGAATGTGTCCAGCACCAGAAGCTGCGTTGGTTGGGACGTGTTGCGTATGCAGAACGATCATTTGCCGAAGAGAGAGTGCTGTTTTCCATGCCCAACTCACAGTGACGTGAACAGAGAGGTGGCCAACCCTTGACTTGGCAGAGGAGTATGAAGGGGATCACGAAACGCTTGGGTGCTGTCGGTTCTGCTCGCCTTCCAGGATGGGGACCGCGTGGTCTTCACTGTGCCTGGTTGGAGACTACAAGATATGGCTGTCAAACGATGTCCGCGACGTTCTTGTTGTCAGTTTCTATCCCGATTGCCTTAGTGAATGTCTGGAGGTGTAGGCACCTCGAAATGATTGTGGTGAGCTAGCAATTGATGATGATGACTGGCAGTCATGCTGAACAAGGGTGGTCCGAGGACAGAACACTGGAACACGCCAACTTTGTCGTTTGCAACTACTGAGCAACATCCAGAGACTCGAACTTTGACTGACAAATATTAAACAAACCTATTCTGCAGGTGGGTCTTGGACAAAATGATCTGGTTGACTCTGAAATGTTTTTGGAAAATTAAGGAAGATTGTACTGACGGCATCGTCTAATTCGACATGGATAGGGCTTATTCTTATCAGTCGATGTATTGGTTTTAAGAACACTACTCCAAGTGAATATCACTTTGTCTAACGAAAGACACAGAGTGAAGCAAGGATGGTAAATCAGACGTAGAAAAGAGTACAGAGTCATATCGGTGACTTATAGTTTCTGTAGTCTCTTGTACTACTTATTCAAGGCCATTGATTGTAGTGACCGCTATGATGCCACGTTTCACTGAGAATTGCGTTCATCTAAAAAAATGGAGATTTGTCGAGAAGGCCTGCGCCGGACATGGTTAAAAACGAGATTTATCCTCGCGACCCAGTATTGTACAGTGGTTTCTGAATTGATTACTTCTTAACCGCAGTAAGAAGCGTCTCGTTCTGAAGGAAAGGCATTGCACATCTGATGTAATTGTCAGTCGTGCATGATCACTTGTGCCGACAATTGAAAGGCAGAGCACTTTTTCAGCCGTTAGTTCATCTGTTGTAAAAACAATTTAGCGGTGAGTCGTCCAGTTGTATTCTGGCTGTTCAAAATGAACCTATTTGGAAGAAATTTTAAATTTAAATCGTTCAGCTGTAACACCACTTGAATGCCTAGCAACCATGCCACCCATAGGAAGCACGAGGGCTGGGATACTTCCAGGTGACCCAAACCTAGACAGGGGAAGTCGAGAGGCAGAAGTTGGGTTCGAACCACGGACCTTCCTATCAGTAAATTCGTGCTCTAACCATCTCGACCCCTGATGATTGAAAAAATCGACTAAGTGTGTAAGATGAAGACAGACAAAAAGGTAGGTTCAATGACTGGACTGATCAATGGATGTTTGCCGTACGACCGCTAGGACTCAAGATACAATACATCAAGCTTTCTTTGGAATCAGCCTCCTTGAGAGGCGGAAAAAACACGTAGAGTAATGGAAAAGACTTTGCAGATTCAAATAACTCACCAGTGAAGCACCCCTTAAACGGCTAAGTCGAGTTTGGTCAAATTTATACATTACTTTCGGTTGAGAAGACCTAGCCAAATAAAGCAAAGCCCATCATATGACAGGGTGAGTTTTTTGCTTTAAACCCAAGGAGAATTGTGTAGAAAATTGAATTTTGAAGTTCAATAACAAGATCCAGGTAATTCTCAGAATTCTCACTAGTACATAGACAATCATCGTCAACCCACCCATAAAACATTTGAATGCCGATGTATTTTGCTACTGAAAGAAGCAAAGAATAGCCCAGATGCTCTGCCTGAATATCGAGAAGTCGCAAACAAAGCAGAATGCCGTTTTTGACCATTTACCGATTTATAACTAAGCTGAAACTGCAGATGGTATGAGGTTGTGCAGAGGAACTTGATATGAACTTCTGGGCATACCATATGCAGGTATAGTACCTCCACTCTGGCACTACGGTTGGGATGTATGTCTACACAGGACTTTTTAGAAGTAATACACAAAATCAATCATTTGCATACATTAAGTTGTGGACTAAGGACCTGTGTCACGCGTGCAATCACCTGCCTTCAACCACGTGGCCAGTCAAGTTGCCCTGCCGACCTCGCAATCCCTTGACCTATAGGTCCTAGCAGCTCCCCTGACAGAGTGAGTAACCAAGACGTGCCAAAAGCTTAACAGGAATAAACGCCTCAACAGTGGTGTCCGATCGATGGTGCAACGAAGGCGGTCCGGACAAATTCGTACCGCAGCTTAGCTACTTTGCATCTTTTGTTACGGCCTGAAAAGTGAGTGGGGATGTGCTTCAAGACATCAGTCGTTCGCTATTGCTGGGCTGCTGACCACTGTTGTATCGTGGGTGGCCGTCTATTGGTTACGCCTGAGCCTGCCAGACTACGCGATA